GAGAAATTTTAATGGAGCTGGAAACAATGAAAGGGGAAGAGGAAGAGGTGGTTATAGAGGAGGAAGAGGACGTGGGGATGCACCTTTCAGAGGTGCTCAGAATAATGACGCAAACACACCAAGAGAAATGACATATGGTCGCCTGAAAACATGGGCGGAAATGGAGGACGCTGGAGAGCTGGTTCTTTTTATGACAAACCAAATACAACAGATTGAAATGTTTCTGAACCAGCCAAGCACAAAAGCTGATTGGATGGTTCTGCTTGTGAAGTCACTGAACCATGCTTTAAGTGCACAGCATCAAAAAGAGTCTATCAAAAACTTGTTGGATGCTCTTTGTAAAACTCGATTTTTTGAACATTTTGGAAGCTGCATTGAAGAAAAGATGATTGGATTTTCTTGGTCCGACGCAGAAGACTATTTTAGGTCATCGGTTAATATAATGAATGAAATTTTGAATAAGTTTCCGCAGTATGCTTTGAAATGTGCTTCTGGGGCTTCAAAGCTGGTGAACTCAGTTCCTTCTGTTCAGTCAGTACAGAGAAATGAAGAACTGTTGTCTTCAATGACGGACCTGTCAAAGAGAGCTGTGGAAATCTTTAAACTGGAAAAAGAGAAGGAAAAAAAGCCGACAGAAGGCAAGTTTTCAGGGGGTAACGACAAACCTCCTGATAATTTTATGGATATTTCTGTTGTGCCTGGAAAGTCTGACCTCAGTGAAGATGCTAAGCCGTTTGTTCGCCGCGCCAAAGTGGTAGGACAGTATGATGATGTTGAGCATTATCTGGATGTGCAGTTCAGGCTGATGAGGCAAGACTTTGTTCTGCCGCTTCGCGAGGGCATTGTGGAGTTCAAGAAAAATGGCTGTAAAAAAAATTACGTCTGCTCAGATTTGAGAATATATTATGATGTTCACATAGTCGGGACCGTATGCAAAGATGGAATTGATCACATCCTGCAGTTTGACATCTCTAAACTAAAAAATGTCAAGTGGGAGTTTTCCAAGCGCTTGATCTTTGGCTCTTTGTTGTGTCTTTCCAAAGACAATTTTGAAACAGTAATTTTCGCAACTGTTGCCAACCGAGATGCTAAAAATTTGGTCAAAGGAAGTGTTAATGTGAAATTTAGGACAGGACTTGAAGAAGTTTTCAGCTCTACTTCCAACGATGTGTTCGTTATGGCAGAAACAACGGCATACTTTGAATCATACTGCCATGTTCTGGAGGGTCTCAAAGAGATGTCGAAGAATTTACCACTGCAGGACTACATTATAAAATGCAGGACAGACCTGAAACCTCCCCGGTATTTGTTACCATCTGGTGGGATCTCATCTCTTCCTATGTACGACCTGTCTGCTCTAATGTTAAACCATCAGTCAAAACCAGTAGCGGCTCTAACAACAGTTAACTGGCCTGAAACCAGTGCTATGTGTTTGAATCAATCCCAAAGAGAGGCTGCTATTCGAGCTTTGACCAAGGAGTTGGCAGTCATTCAGGGACCTCCAGGTACGGGGAAAACTTACGTGGGGCTAAAGGTCATGGAGGTTTTCATGCAAAATATGCAGGTGATTTCTGGGAATGAGACGCAGACTTGTCCTATCCTTGTTGTGTGCTACACAAACCACGCCTTAGACCAGTTCCTTGAGGGAGTTCTAGGGTTTTGCCCAGCTGGGGTTCTTCGCGTTGGTGGGAAGAGCAAATCAGAAAGGTTAGAACAGTTCAACATTAAGAATGTGAAAGAAAGACTCAGAAAAGACAAAATATTTTCCAATATGTCTGTGAGACACTCCATACGAGACTGCCTTGGCGAGTTAAGAGAAGTATCAGAACAAATAGAACAGTTGAACCAGACAATGGATTACCTGGAAATTGATGTCATGCAAGAAAACATCCTGGAGAATTTCATGAAAGATGCTCACTTTGACTCGCTGACATCAAATAATTCACAGCCTGACCAGAAGAAGATGAGCATCAGAAACTGGCTCAATGCTTCAGACAGCACGCCAGCATCAGTTGTACCCCAAATGATCCGGAAACATTTGACAAATCTTGTTCTGAAATTTCAGAGTGGCTCACCGATCTGGTCTCTGACGGATGACATGGATATAGCTCAGCGAGCTTGTTTCTACAACAGTTACCTGACTGTGTACAAGCAAACGCCTGCAGCAGCAAATGCACTTCATGTTACGACAACCTAATAACTATGGCCATTTGATGAAAATGAATGAAGTGCTAACAGCTGCAGATAAAACAATACTACACGATGATGAAGGAGTCATTCCAGATGAACTTATCAGAAAAATGGTTTTCTTTCTGAAATCAAATGACAAGCATCACAAATGACCAGGCTTTGATGATGATGACAAATTTAACAGTAAAAGCAGAGTAAACAAAAACAACCTAGGTTCTGTGATACAAAGAGCTGACATGTTGGGTATCAAGGAGGAAATTCTTTCAGGCGAGAATGATAAAAATGAAGGAGACTGGAAGACGGTCAGCCGTGCTAAACCCATGACCTTAGCCAAATTTCAAAATAAACTGAAATCAACCGTAGCAATGTCAGAAGATATGGAGGACAGCATTCAAGATGTTTGGAGTCTCGATCTGAACAAACGATTTGCTTTGTATAATCTTTGGATCAAGAGGTACAAACAATCGTTAACAGATAAAATGTGCGAGCTTGTAAAACAGTACACTTCTCTTTATGAGAGAAAGAAAGAAATCAACACAGAGGAAGTTCTCTTTATAATGCGCAGTGCCAAAGTCATTGGCATGACCACTACCGGAGCTGCGAAACATCAAGCTGTACTTCAGTCCTTGGGGTGTCGGATTGTTGTTGTGGAGGAAGCTGCCGAGGTGCTGGAGTCTCATATTGTGACCTCCCTTAACAAGAACTGCCAGCACCTAATTCTGATCGGAGACCACCAGCAACTGAGGCCAAGTCCAACTGTTTATTTACTGGCAAAAGAGTATGGCCTTGAAGTCTCCCTCTTTGAGAGATTGATAAAGAACAAAGTACCACACTCGACACTGAAAGAGCAGGGAGCTCTTCTCGATTGTGGACACACCTGTACCGGAAAGTGCTATGATTGTCTAGAAGGTTCTGTGCATGTGGTGTGCAGTCACAAGTGTGACAGGAAGTTGCCCTGTGGCCATGTTTGTCCAAGTTTCTGTGGGGTACCTTGCTTGCCTTGTACCCAGATTTGTCCTGCTGAGTGTCGTCATGGATCCTGCCGCACACCCAAATCATCACCTCGGTGCAGCCATGCCTGCCCACCTTGCAAAGAGAAATGCAAAACACGGTGTGAACACCAGTCATGTAAGAAACTCTGCTCAGATATTTGTGACATGAAAATTTGCCAAGAAAGATGCAAAAAAACTGTGGAGAAATGTAAGCATCGTTGCTCAGGATTATGTGGTGAGCTTTGTGTCTGTGCAAAGTGTTGCAAAATCAATGTTCTACAAGCAGTTGGTAATACAGCAATACCAGCTCCTGGTGATGCTGAGAAAATTGAAACAATGCTTGACGATGATTTTCCTATAGCTGGGGATATGTCTTCCAATACTGATGATAATTCCCCAGTAACTGATGATTATTCTCCTGGAATTGATGAGAAAGCATCCCAAATACAGAGCAAATCAAATCAGTCTAAAAAAAATGCAATCAGGCCAATTATAAAAATTGCATCCTGCAGTCATGTATTTTACGTGGATGAACTCGATAACTATGTTCAGAATTATGCACCAGATGGCGCCAGTTTTATTCCCGTGTCCAGTTTGCCCAAGACCTATTTTTAAATGTATGCGCTATGAAGATGAAAACAAACTGAGGCATAAAAGGAGAGAAGAAGAAAAGGTCAAACTAAACTTAGCCACAGATGTATCAAAAAGACAGATGACACTTTTACAGAGGTCTCAGAAAGCCCTCACCGATTCTGTCATTTTGAGTGGTTTTCATTTAATTGATTTGGTTGACGTCAAGAATCAGGTGAAAATGCTGGCTATATCATTCAAGTTTAAGTGTGCTTTTATGATCAGTGAAATATCCTCTTTAACGGAAAATGACACTGAACTAAAGCATCTTTTAAATTCAAGAAAAGATGCAGTCTTGAAAATCAAAGACAGATTGTCCGAACAGCAAAAACTGGAGTTCACAACAGAGCTACTGAGGTGCTTCTGGCTTGCTTATGTCACCAACCTGGAGAAACTGAGTGACGAACATCGCATTGATGTATCTGAGCACTTGAGGCGACTGATCAAGGTCAACATACAGGATCTGAGGAAGCTAAGGCCACATGATGATGTGCTGGACAGAGCTATGCATGTTTCAGACACTCTCAGACGCCGGATTCAAGAAACTACTGCCAAGGAGGAGGTGCTGAAAGCCAAGTGTCTGCTTCTAGAGAAGTCATCTGAGCGTGCCATTAAAGTTATGAAGTCTCCGGATGAAGATGTAAGCTACATAGATTTATTTATATTTTTTATTATCAGTATATTTGAAAAAACCCATAGGCTAAAAAATGTTTCTTCCAATCTACATCATCTTTATTATTATCCTCGTGAACCATTAATGTCAGACGCTTGGCTGCGGATCGGAAGGTCGTGTGTTCGGTTCTTGACGAGGGCCGGATTTTTTTCAAAATGACCTTGGCTCCCAGGTTGACCCAGCCTTGAGTGGGTACCAGGTACTCTTCTGAGAAGTAAAGGTGGCCAGCGGGATGCTGACCATATCACCTATAAAGTGCCATTTAGTCTTTAAAATATAGGTTTAGCCCTATATACTCAATATGCCTGAAAGGCAGGGAAAAAGGACTTTTACTTTACTATTATCAGTATAAGCGGCGTCCGTGGCTAAGGCGTTGCGAGTCCGACTCGTAAGCCAGCATACCGCGATTGAAACCCACTGCAGGCTGCGTGGATTTTTGTCGTGGTATGGGACGTCACAGGTCGACCCAGCCTAAAATGGGTACCAGGATGGGCTGTCCTGGGAAAGTAAAGACAGCCGGCGTAATGCTGACCACATTACCCACAGAGTGCTGATGGTCTGTAAAAATATGGGATGCTCTGCCCATATGCCCGATGCGCCGAAAGGCGTGAAAAGGGATCTTTACTTTACTTTACTTTATTATCAGTATATATTTAAAAAATCCATAGGCTAAAAATGTCTCTTCCAATCTACATCATCTTCATTATTTTCCTTCTGTACCATTAATGTCACGTAGGATGTACAGTCTATTCCTCCTCAATATCTTCTTCATCTTCGCGATCACCAGCTGTACACTCTGGCGGAAAGTTCTGGTTGCTTGTCCACTACTGAACTGCAGTCCTGCTCCAGAACCTGAGTTTTGCATGTGCATCAGTTTTACAGATCTCATTCTCTTGAATACAGACTGTTGGTTCCTTGCCTCTCCGGCAGATGCACGACTGCCCCGGAACCCACACGGTGGGACCAGTTCAATATCATGGATGGAATCCAGTCGAGGACCTTAGGTCTCTCTCACCAACATTCTTTTTAGGGTTTCTTTTGGGTATGTTCATCCCCATTTCAGAACCGGATGTGTCCAGTAAAGCATTATCTTCATCTTTGTCTCTTAATTTTTGTTACCAGTGGTTGGCCAGACATTCTCCTGGCCTCATCATCATCATCATGTGCCTTGCCGACTGGCATGGGCGATCATGCCTCTCCATAATCTACAATCTCCTCTAGCCTGTAGCAGTTCGTGTGCCGACACACCTCCATACCATGCAACAAGACTGTCAAAGAATCTTCATCTATTCTTCATTCCACAGATCTTTCCGGTAGTCACAACATGTTCCATTTTTCCTCTTCTCATAACATGGTGGAACAATGATGACTGTCTCCTTCTGATGTCTGTGATAAGTTGTCTTTGGGCTTCCGCCTCTTCCAAAACCTCTTGGCTGTATTTTTTGCTGTCCAAGGTGTTTTAAGCATTCTTCTGTAGAACCACATCTCTGAGGCCTCTAGAAATTGTTTGGCCTGCCTACTGATTGTTTAGGACTCACAGCCATATGTTGAAACTGGATGTATGTAGCAAGCAAGAATTCTTTTTCTAACCCTCAATGACAAAGATATATTTCTTAACATGATCTTTTTTTTAAAAATGCAGTTTTTGCCTGTTGTATTCTTTTTCTTATCTCAGTAATGCATCTTCCATCTGATGTTATCCATGTGCCCAGATACTTACATTTCTGTACTTGTCCCAAAATAACACCATTGACTTTTTGGTGATGTTATGAGAAGAGGGAAAATAGAACATGTTGTGACCACCGGAAAGATCTGTGGAAGGAGGGATAGAGGAAGACAACAAGAGAAGATGTTTGACAGTCTTGTGAACTGATACATGCTGCATCTTGTGTTTATTGTGCTTCTAGGCAAGAATCTATGAATATAAGATAGTTTTTCTTGGGATGAAAGGGTTAAGTCAAATAATGGTTGGTTTCAATACCTAATATATCTAGTGATAGAAGTCAGATAAAGGTTAGTTTCAAAAGACAATTTATCTAGTGCCAGAAGTCAGATAAAGGTAAGTTTCAACATATCATGTATCTAGTGGTAGAAGTTGGATAGTAGTAAGTTTCAACATATCATGTATCTAGTGAAAGAAGTCAAATGAAAGTTACTTTCAACATATCATGTATCTAGCGGTAGACATCAGATAAAAGTTAGTTTCAACATATCATGTATCTAGTGATAGAAGTCAGATAAAAGTTACTTTCAACATATCATGTATCTAGTGATAGAAGTCAGATAAAAGTTAGTTTCAACATATCATGTATCTAGTGATAGAAGTCAGATAAAAGTTAGTTTCAACATATCATATCTAGCGGTAGACGTCAGATAAAAGTTAGTTTCAACATATTTAATATCTAGTGGTAGTCAGATAAAAGTTAGTTTCAACATATCATGTATCTAGTGTTAGAAGTCAGATACAAGTTAGTTTTAAGATATCATGTTGTGACCAAAGTCAGATAAAGGTTAGTTTCAACAAATCATGTATCTAATGAACACAGTCAGATAAAGGTTAGTTTCAGCAGATCATGTATCTAATGCCGAATTCAGATAAAGGTTAGTTTTAAAACATCATGTATCTAGTGACCGAAGTCAGATACAGATTAGTTTCAAAACATCATGTATCTAGTGACCGAAGTCAGATAAAGATTAGTTTCAAAACATCAT